CCACCAAATAAATTCAATTTCACCACGATTCCGATTCACAAAAGTTATCATAAACTCAAAAAATCCCCCTAATCAATGAATTGAAAAATTACGATCAAACCAAACAATATTCGATACAAACAACGAAACAAATAACCGTGATAAAACATCAACAATACAAAGTAACAACAAAAAATCCTAACTGTCAATAATACTTGTACGAAATCTATTCACTGCTCACCTGCAATTGGTGGTGGGGGTGCTGGGAATTGCTGATTGTAAGGGGGATACGAGGTATAGCCGGGTGGCACAGCGCCGCCTTCGTTTGGTTTCGGATGCGCGTTTGATGAATCCCACATCGACGGAAACGTACTGGCATTCGCCGGATATGCCATCGCTGCCTGATACGACGGTGGTGGCTCACTAAAGTAGAAACTTTTCTCATTCACATTCTCTTACTTTCATTGTTATTATTACTAACTGATATTATTACTTCTTCCACATCACTGTCCACTAATCCAATAACAGTGATGGTATCTGAGCAAAATTTCATATCGGTTGAAATCCACTCGATTCGATTCTTCATCATTCCCACATTCGGAATTCCGAACGACCTTTCAATCTGCTCAGTCGAAATCAGACTATCGAAATTCCGACTGATACTGTCCATTTTTTTTGACCGCACGTCGGTCGGTTTTTTTGCCATCACTATCCAATAGATTCTTCTTTGAATTATAGCATCAAATGCAAAATGGACAACAGGACAGCTGAATGCACTGTAGAAATCGCTTATCTTCCGTAAAACCATTCGNAGATGTTATCAACGATGAAATAATCATTTGTTTTGTTTTGTCTTCTCGATTCGTTTATGAATCACCACCACCACCACCACGAACACGAGCACATTCGAGCAAAAACGTGAACGAATGACTGCTTTCCTTATCATCAGTTACTCCACCAACAAACCCATCGACACATTTCTTTTGATCAACATCACTTATTGCTCGTCTTCCAATGGTATCACTTCGTTCCGAACATCTCACTATTATACTATTGTGGAACTTGGGAACGTTTAAATCTTCTTTTTTTGAAAATCAATTCAAAAGCATCGTCTCGGAGAAGCCATGCATCCATCCTCATTTGAATATGACGAAGTATCCATCGCATCGATGGAAATTCGAATCTAATTGTTGAGATTCTCCAATTAAGACCATCTCCCAACCGTTTTATCTACTCAAACTCACCATCTGCGCTAGTATGTCGAGACTGTACTCAAAAAATATCGCTCGCTGTCTCGTCGAAGAAAAAAACAAATACATAAACACTTCAACGACCGAGTGAAAAATTATCCAAATAAACAATTGTAAAATTGCTTCAAATAACGATTTCAATACATTTTTCATAAAACTTCACTTGTACGATTCATTTTCATATAACACACACAAACGATGAATAAAAGAGAGTTGATGACGAACCATAATGAAATGAAAACATAAATCCACATTCAATGTTCCATACAATCCGCTCCATCAAATTCAACTCAAAACGAATCGATACCACCAAACAAACAACAAAAAAATATTCAACAACTTACGAATACGGTGATTGTGTTGTTGCTGGTATGGTTCCGGCTGGTTGCGGTCCTACCGCAGCAGATGGATGCGGAGGAGGAGGATGTGGTGGGGGTGAACCCAGAGGTGTCTGCGTCACAAAATTCGGATTCTGCGGTGGTTGTGGGTGAGGTTGTGCACCGACCGGATACGGTGGTTGCCCGGTGGCGGCTCCTGCTTGATTCTGAGCAGATGTCAGCGATGGTTGCGTGGACACTGAATCTCCTGTTGATGATGGTACGGTAGGACTCGCTGCATTTTTGACATTTGTCATTTTGTGGGCCTTTTTCTTCGATGCTCGATGCCGATTCCTATTAGATCCTTGTTAGATGTTATTGTTTCGATTCCGATTTGATAACAATCCTTCGATTTAACAATTGCGTCACTACTGCGATTATTTTTTGGATCTGATTGTTGCTGAATGCGATAACTTCAGTTGAGTACTGACAACTGAAATATTCATTAGTAATTATCAGTGATAACTGCATTTAATAACGTTTTCGCGATAACGACATTCAAACCGCTCTACTGATAAGACCAATACTCATTGATTAGTTCACTACCGAATGAATAATGCCATAAAACACTCTAGACAAGCTTTCGTATATGACTAATGTGTACGTCATATGACTAATAACGTATCATATAGCGTTGTCATATAATATGACAGCTAATCTCAATATAACATCGTCATTCAAATCATTCCAAACCATCACAATATT